TAAATGCTATAACATAGATTGAACTATCTGAAAAAACTAAGAGGCTCCATAAAGAAAACATCAGAGTTGAACGTGTTACTTATCTTTCGAATTCGCTTCAATATTTTTGATATCCGATGTGGCTCCGTCGTTGTTGAGAACGATCAGTTTAGACCTACCTCGAGTAAGCACGCTTTGTGATTCTCCAATACCTTTAGTCACTCCGGTAACCACCTTTACGCGCTCGGATTCGATGGAGCCATCAGATGACGATTCAGCATTAGCTTTACGCGATTGACGTGCTCGTTTACGGTCCTTGACCGTTTGAAACTCTTCCTCCCTGTCTTCCTCCAATGCTTCTGGTCCCGATGAAAGATCATCATCGACTTCTGCTTTAGACAACGATCCAGAAAGTTGATCACCCGTTGGGATGTCCTTCAGCTGCTCTGCTTCGCCAACAGCCTTGGCGTCTACCTCCCTAGAATTCTCACCTGTCTCTGCAATGGCGGTCGAGCCACCATCTTCCTTAACATTCTTCTCTTTTTCCGGTTTGGTTTTGTTCAACACAACCATTCCATTGTTTTCCACGACTTTAGGTTTCGGAGTGGGTCTTCCCGACCAACGGCCGGCTGCCATATCACTGAACAATGGATTGGATGAACCTGAACCTGATGCCCCTGGTTTCGTTTTGTTTGCCCCACTTGGCCCCGCTTGCTCCGATGTGTCTGGTTTCGGTGAACCAGCCGTGTCCGTTTCATCGTTCTGCACTAGGCGCTGATTGATGTTGCTACGTTTAGGGCAGTTAACCTTCAAATGCTCCATGCTTCCACAAACAAAGCATTTATTCTGTAGACCCTCATAAAACACCCGTGCTTGAAAATTCCGTACATGGATTGTCGCAGGAATGTCATGTTTTATTTCCATATGGACTCCGCGGACCGATGTCCAAATAGGGTAACCTGTCTCTGCGCCGTACTTTTCACGCACCATCCTTTGAATGATACCGTACTTCGAAAGCACGGTGGATATTTCTTTGTCCTCAATCTCTGGTGGGAGATTGAAGATCCGGACATACCTGAACACCGCAGAAGCAGCGGAGAACGTAACCTTGGTCGACTCATACTTGCTGTAGTCAAAATCCATTGACGACGGAAGACGTAGCAGCGCTCCCTTCAATTGTTCTTCCGTCTTAAACTTGATGATAATACAATGTTCCCTGGGATCTTTGTACATGGACAGGAGACCTGCTGCGTTCAGCCCCATCTTCACCCTCATGAATTGGAATATTTCATGATCCGTTGGCTCCTTTTTTCCAGGTCCGAAGTGAACTCGCATCGAGTTGGCACGAGCTTCCTCCATTTTTCTCCTTTGTTTCCACAACGGTTCCGATTTATATATTATTCTATTGTCCCACGAGGAACAATAGACCTAACACGCTAACAGTAGCCTCAGCTACAAACCGCAAACGAACTAATATTGCTCCGGAATAGACAAGCACGACCGGTCGGTTGAAAGTCTAGAGATGAACTGAATGCAATGGATAATGGAAACCACGTAGAAGCTCTCTATACAGACTTTAGCAAGGCATTTGACCGCATAGACATACCAATGCTACTTTTTAAATTGCAAAACAATGGAATTGAGACAGGGCTCCTAAAATGGCTTGAATCATATTTAACTAACCGCCTACAAATAATTTAACTCAACGGAAAGAAATCGAGTCCATTTCAAGTCACTTCAGGCATCCCCCAAGGCTCTCATTTGGGACCTCTTCTTTTTATTCTATACGTAATCGACATTTCTTTTATTCTCAAAAAACTTAAATTGCTTATTTATGCCGACGACATGAAGCTCTTTTTGGAAATAAGAAATGAAGAAGACATCAATGTATTCCGGAATGAAATACACATATTCTACATATGGTGCAAAAAAAGTCTACTAGAATTGAATGTAAAAAAATGCAACTTAATATCAGTTAGCAGGAAAAGAACAACTTCAAATATTTCAATTGCACTAGGAAATCAAAATGTAGAAAAATCTGAAAGAGTTAGGGATTTAGGAATTCTCTTAGACTCTAAACTAACTTTCATAGACCATTACAACACAATTATTCACAGAGGAAATAACATGCTAGGCTTTCTTCTTCTTCGCATTTCAAGCTTATTGCATATCGCATATGAGCTTATTGCGTGCTCTCAACTTAGTGTTCTAGATGCACTTCCACAGTACCATTTTTGCATTGGTATAATTGTGTGGCAAGTCCAATCATACTTCTGTGCACAGGGAAGTCGAGACATTTTCCAACCAGAAAAATTCCTAGACCGGACCGGAAATCGGACCCAACCACCTCCAGCATGGTCTTGCTTTGTAGCTGCGCCTTTACCGACTGAGCTAAGGGAGGCCCCTTAGGCTTTATCAAGCGCTTTTGCTATAACTTTCAGGATCCATACACAATTAAAACACTATATATTGTCTATGTGAGGTCAATACTGGAATATTGCAGCATTCTATGGTCTCCTTTTTCAATCACGCACGAAGAAAGATTAGAATCCGTACAAAAACAATTTCTATTATACGCTCTTCGTAAATTAGGTTGGACATCATTTCCTCTTCCATCATATGAAGCACGCTGCATGCTTATAAACATGCAAACATTAAAAAAGCGTCGTGAATATGCAATGGTTTCATTTGTAAACGATATCGTTTCGCAGCGTATTGACTGCACAGAACTTTTATCAAAATTAAATTTCCATGCACCTACTCGGCAACTCTGAAATCGAAATTTATTTGCCATAACACATCATCGCACAAATTATGCAAAGGTGGGCCATTAAACCGCATGATGGCCTCTTACAATCAATACTGCGAAACCATTGACTTTACAATGTCTCGGCATAAACTAAAACAATATTTTTACTCCATAAGCCATTATATTTAACTCATAAAAAATAGGAAAGCCGACACTGCTTAATTTTTATTAAAGACAAAATTATACTTTTAACCTTTTGTCCAAAGTTGACGAAATAAATAAATAATTTTAAGAAAACAAAACTGTATTCGAGTGTGTACTAGTCTACGTTGGTTGACGAAATAAATAAATAAATAAACAAATAAAATAAATAAATTTCAATCCCCAATTTTCTTGCATTGAATCGCTGCTCGGTATATTTCATCCTCCGTTCAAGTGGTCTCCACTAACATCCTGCGATGATGAATCCCACATAATTGTTAGCAAATCTTTCATCCCCCGGTTGGGTGTACGATTGAAGTTTGCAGTGAAAGCAGACCGCTTCACTGTTGCACGCATCACCGTGCAACATGAATATTCTACAAAGCATGATACACACCAGCTTGTAACATAAACCATGTTTCGGGAAATTCTTCCACACATTGTAACACAACCAGCAAGCTCGTCCGATAGCCAAACTTACTTCTGCCAGCCAATAATGCTTTGTTTACAGTAGGAAAACAGTCTCTCTCCGGGTGCTTTTCTCTCACTTTTTGGAGGCATCCGGTTTTTGGGAAGCAGGCAGAGTGCGGGTCCTGCATGTGAGTTTTCCACCTTAGCCAAGTTCCCAGCTTATATGCTTCTATTCTACTCTGCGTATTGGTATTGGTAAGATGGTTCTCCCAGGCAACGGATGGCGCGCGTTCGAAGTTTCCCACCAGCTGAGGACGCCAAAAACCATGTGCGAATTCCACCATCTAGGAAGGTGGTTTGGTGTTAGTGCTTGGCGGCCTCTGCCGTTCGTAGGGACAACACGTGTGTGGTCTTAGAAACGCAGTGGGGCTCCGTCTGAGGTTTGTCGACGATGGCAATGATGATGATGACGACGTCGTCGTCGTCGCTGTCGGCGACGGGTGCCACCGTTGAGGTTTCACTTGCGACGTTTTAGACAGCTTCGAGACTTTGAGTCGAACGGTTTGAAAGTTCTGCGGTTCTTGGACTTGGTACCGACCGGGAAGATTTTTCCTTTCCTCTGCCAACCGAGAAACGGTTCTCGTTCAGTTTGTTTTCTTGAACGGTTGCTGTGTGAAGAAGACAGGCGATCTCCCGCTGGAAAGCGAAGAAGTAGTGCTGTTTCGGTCGAGCTTTGAGGTGTGGGGGCACGTTTGGAAGTTCCCAAATCTCGGTATATAGTGGATTGCGAAGAACAGGTTACTACAGAGAGCGCAAGCAAGAAGGTGGCGCGTATTACATAAGGACGTCCATTGACTGCAGCCCAAGAAGGTGGAAATTGCGGCGATACCCCACCGCAGAGGGTTCTTCGGAACAGTCAGAAAAGAAACACAATAATCAAGCACGGAGAGTGGCCGAAAAGGAGTTCAAGTAGAGCAAAAGTGTGTTAATTAGATGTTCTCGCCTGCCATGAAAATTCTCCAGTGGTTATTTCAGTACAGATTGAGCTAGAGAAAGGTCGTTTGTGCGCGGTTGCTCCATAGGTATCGCGCGGCCCTCTCGAGGAGGAATCAAAGGCAAAGAAGAAACCTTTTGCAATCAGTAGTCTAGTGAAAAAATTGATTTTTTTAATCGCAATCCCTGTAAATAGTGCTGTAAATAGTTAAGAATAAAGTGCCCGTAGTTCTACGTAGATTTGTAATACCGAACCCGCGTAGTTAGTGCAAGCAATAAAGTAGGTTCAAGCCTTGATAAAAAAAAACTCGACTCAAGGTTGTTACGATAAGCATCGATTTCTGTGGGAGTTGGATTGATTTTTACTGCAGCCTCGAAAACAGTTGGATCGTTTTCAAAAAGCGTTGAAACGAAGTGAAGAATGTGTGGTGGGTGCTGTAATCATGGAAGCTAAGCATTTGTGATGTCTGGATGATATTGGAGCATGTTGATAGCTAGTGCTTCATAAAAGGAATCAATCGGAAGTGATATGAGCTACTTTCTGGATCAAAACGGTGTTTTGCACAATCATCGGCAATGATAAAGTGGTGATTGGAAAGGCAATTTAATTGTGTCCTAAGATAAAGCTTTGAATTTATCCTGAAAGTGTCCTCGCGAGTGAAACAACATGGATAAATCGAAGAAACCGCCGACGACGGGCGGTGGTGGAGCAACCGGAGGTGGTGCACCAGGAGCTGGACCCGGCGGAAAGAAAGGCCCAGGAGCAGGACCTGCTGGCGTCGGCAAAGGACCGCCCAAAAAGCCCAGTGATAGTGACGCACCGGGAGCCGGTGCTAAGGCGGAAGGAGATCCCAGTGGACCGGGTGCCACCAAGGATGAAACTTCCGCTGCGGCAAACGGCGACAAAAAAGCGGATAAGGCTGACACTGAGCAACCATCGCAGCCGAAGCCTGGCAGTGCCGGGGCGACGGTCCGCGACGGTGCCCAGAAAGTTCTTAACCTGGCCATGAAGAGCGAATGGGCTCCCGTTGAAGCTGTGCTGAAAGGCTTGGAAAAGGCGATAGCCGCCGGCGGAGAGGACGCCAATCCGACCCCGCTTGCCGGGGTGATGGATCCGGTAAGTGGCATTTGTTTTTTTTTATTAACATAGAAGGTGGATGTAAAAACTATGAGTTTTACGATTTTGGAGTTAATGAGTCAATTATACGTTTGGTTCGGTGCTTTAGTTCAAAAGCTACGTTTTGTAGTTCATGAATCATTAACTGAAAACATATTTTTAATTGGCGTGAAATCAATTTCAGTAACTACATTCATTTTTACTGGTTTTGCTTATTTACCAAAACCTGTAATTTAACATCCTATTAGACATAATCTTCTGTAAAAAGATAGTCAATCTAATGACAGCATGAGTTGTCTGTAGGTTTCCAACATTTCCAACAAATCCATTGTGACAATATAATTCACTAAGAAAAAACGGTAAGCAAAAATCTGTCTTTCGTCTATTGAAAATACCACACGGACATAAAGTTATCAATACTCAAAAGTATTGACAATCCTATTAATTCAAATTTTGACGACGGAACATATTCATCGAAAACAAAATAGTGTGATGTTGGTCTTCAATATTTTCTCTCAAAAACGGTCGCCACAATGCCACCGAACCCCGTATTTCACAAAACAATTACGACCAAGGTGCTGTTCAACTTTCTGTTACTAGATTTCAATCCTGACGGTGACCTCACCAACGATGGTAAAAACTACTCTTAACACTCCGAACATGATGTCTCCAGTAAAAAGTACAACGACAAAGTTGAAATGTTTTAAAATTCATAGCTCAGCCATCTATTGACATATTTCAAATCTATTGCCACCACTTGAAGCTACAGACTTTAAAGATTTATTCTGCATCCAGAGATTTACAATGTATTATTAACTGCTGAGCAATAATTTTTTAAATATTTTCAATTGGGCGCTATACATTTTACCGTAGGCATCGCGTTCGGAGTGTTAAGAAGGATTTGTTATAGATTTCCAATTAACATATCTTTCCTGAAAGTTTAATTTTTTACGGACTCGTTCCATGAATCAAATTTCAATACGCTTTTTCTCATATTAAAAATAAATCAGATTTACACTTAGACTCTATAATGTGAAGGAGTTTGAGGATTAATTCTCAGTCAGTAAGCTTACTGCTTCTTATACCACAAAACAAAATTGTTCCCGTTCAACTTGCTGTCATTAGATTTCGGTCCTAGCGACGACCTCGCTGACGACAACTTCTATTATTTGTTAAGGCTCAACTTTCTTAAAACAAAACCCTACGATGCCGAGTGAGTGCATAGTGGCCCAAGATGTATCACATACCTATTACAGATTTTTGGATAAAATCTACAGATTGATATAGATTTTTGAAGCAAAAAATCATAAAAAATAGCAGTACATTTCTTCTTCTTCGCATTTCAAGCTTATTGCATATCGCATATTAGCTTATTGCGTGCTCTCAACTTAGTGTTCTAGATGCACTTTCACAGTTATTATTTGAGAACTTTCGATGCTTGTACCATTTTTGCATTGGTATAATTGTATGGCAAGTCCAATAATACTTCTATGCCCAGGGAAGTCGAGAAATTTTTCAACCCGAAAAATTCCTAGACCGGACCGGAAATTGAACCCAGCCACCTCCAGCATGGTCTTGCTTTGTAGCTGCGCCTTTACCGACTGAGCTAAGGTAGACCCCAACACATTTACACATTGTACACATTTAGCAGCATTTAGAGTCTTTAGAAGTTAAGAAGTCTAATGAAGTTATTTTAAGTTTTAAGAAATACCCTGAATCTAAAGAAGAACTTGTTTGAAGTTTCTTAAAATTAACCAAAGCTCACATAACTTCAACGAAGCTTCTCTAACTTGAATAAAGTTCCCAGTTTTACATAGTGTTCTCGAATTTTTACAAAGTATCCTTAATTCATCAGGATTCAAGATGAATAAGGGCGTCTGCAGAAAGAGATAAGGATTAGAAATTTCTATTCAATTCCACAGCCTTAACTACTTGTTCTTGACAGACAGGCGTATTTCGTCTACAATGTGCAGACTTCTTCAGTGTCTTGGACTAAAACTCGACTTTTAGTACAAGGCAGTGAAGAAGTCTGCACATTGTAGACGAAATACGCGTATCTGTGAAGGACAAGCAATTAAGGTATTTGAACCAAATAGAAATCACCAATCCTTCTACTTTTCTTTAAACATCTTTAATTTCTTCAAAGTTCTAAGAAGATTGCTGAATTTATATAAAATTTATTAATTTTTTAAACGTCCACTGCATGTCTTAAAAGTCCCTAAAATGTTTAGATATTATATTGTTAACGAAAAAAAAAAAAACTCTAACGTTAACGAAATTTCAAGAATTTGCGTGTAATTCGCTTAATTTATCTAAAGTACGCTTATTTTCTATAATGTTTGAAGAAGTTCTACAAAGTTCTCTTAACTTATACAAAACTTACTGAAGTTCTATAAAATTATGGATGCATGGATTCAGGATGGCAAGTCAATGCTGCGTATATGGATCTAAAAGCTGCATTTGACATGGTGGACCATAATATCTTGCTTGCCAAGCTGGAGATACTTGGCGTCTCGTCAACGGCTGTGGATTGGTTCAGATATTACTTGGTGAATCGCTATGTACGGGTTAAGATTCGCGCGTCGAAATCGGATGTTTTCTCAAACAACTCGGGAGTTCCGCAAGGCAGTAACCTAGGACCGCTACTGTTTTCCATCTTTTTAAACGACGTCGCCTTTCTGATACCATCAGGATGCCGCGTTTTCTATGCAGACGATACGAAAATCTACAAAATTATTAAAAGTCTCTCGGGTCTCTGTTGGAATCTCCATAATATGTTAGGTATTTTTGCTGACTGGTGCGCAAGAAATTTGATGAGTCGAGCATCGAGAAATGTAACATTATTTCCTATCACCGAAAAATCGAACCAATCATGCTTGACTATGTTCTCTACGGACGCTGTCTTGATTGTGTAGAGCACATGAAGGATCACGGTGTTACCTTGTACTGCAGACTCACTTCCAGAATCCACTACAATGACAACATCTCCAGAGCTAATCGACAATTGGGCTTTATTTTCAAAATTGCCGATGAGTTCCGTGACCCGCTATGCCTCAGGTCACTCTACTGATCGCTTGTGCGATCCTTATTGGAGTCAATTTTAGTTGTTTGATGCCCTTTCTATGCTAGCTGGATCACTAGAATTGAATCCATCCAACGCAAGTTTGTGAGATATGCTCTTCGTTTCCTCAACTGGCGTGACCCAATAAACTTGCCACCGTACGAGAAGCGTTGCCGTCTCCTGGGAATCGAACCATTAGAGGTGAGACGGACGGTCGCTCAAGCTATGTTCGCTGGAAAGCTGCTTACGGGTGACATTGACTGTCCAACACTGCTGGCTCAGCTAAATATGTATGCCCCTGAGAGGCCTCTTCGTCAACGCGACTTTCTGTTTTTGGAACCACGGAGCCGGAATTATACACAACACGAGCCAATTCGAGCAATCGGCCGGCAATTCAACAACTTCTTTTATATGTTCTCCTTCAATGCATCTGCTGACGTGATTCGTCATCGGTTACTTAGTCTTTTCCGTACCGTTGACCGTAACTATTCAGTTTAAGTTTTATTCATTTAGACAACCATTGTCAGTTTATTTTTCAATATACAAATATACAAATTATCAGAAGTTCACTGAGCTCCTGCAAAGTTTTCTGACCTTCTACACAATTCAATGAATGTCTAAGAAATTTTCGAAAGTTCTACGATGTTTCTTGAAGATCTATGAGGTTCCATGAAATTCCACAACGTTCCTTTTACTTTCAAGCCGTTTTTCAAGCTTCAACGAAGATCTCTAAAATAAAATTATGTTCTCTTAACCTTTGCGAATTGCTCTTCACTTCTAAAAAGGTTATAAATCTGAAATATTGAACACGAACACCTTCCTCCGCCAACAAATTTTAAGAGTCACGGTGTCGACATGTGCAGACGTCTCGTCGATATCGTTGAAGTTTCCTAAGTGCAACTAGCATCCCTGGGCTGAATAACTTCCACTTTATTTCAGAGTAAAAAGGTATAGTAGTGAGAATTTGTCGTGATATCTTTTTCTCTTGAAGATTCAGAGTAGATCCATGAACTTCAAAAACATTTTGTGAGCTTACATGTAGATCAGACTTATCTTAAATTAACGAGTATTTCAGAAACTTTACATTAACTTAAAAAAAAACTCCAGAAAACAACAGGAAGATTCAAAGAACTTCTGAATTTGAGGATAGTTTAATAAACATACGGAAAATTGTAGGACTTTCGAGGAAGTTCTGAAAACTTCCCAAAAAATTTGAGACCGATCGACTTTTGAAGAAAAAAAACGGGAGATTTCAGATGCTCTAAGAACAATCTTAATATAAGTTTTGAGTCCCATGAACGGCAGGGAAATCGGGAACATTATTGAAAACAATTGTAAATTTCATGATAGTACCTTGATATCAAAAATAAAAATGTGGAAACCTTCAAGAAGTTCTGAGAATTTCATGGAACTTTCAAAACATTAAGATAAGTTCCAAAAAATTTAGGGTAGTTCCGAGAATTTCATGAACGTTCAGAATTACGGAGAAGTTCTAAGATCTTTAAGGGTAAGTTTCGATACTTCCTAGGCAGTTCCAGTAGGTTTCAGGAAAGTTTATAGAAATTTAGTGAATACCAAATACCTTAAAGGTACAGTAACTTGTTCGATTCTGGCAATAAAACCACAAAACCGTTCGGTTTTTGGCACCATACTAAAATCGAACGGATTTTGAACATAATTTATTTTTTCACAAGGTTACAGTTTTTAATAATAACGTTTATATCATAAAGATGACTCACGAAGTTATTAATCAAATTTAAAAATAAAATTTATCGATGTTGGCAACAACGGGACTGTACTTCAATTAACTTAAGATAAAAATACAAGAACTAACGGTTGAGTTAAAATATCTTAAGGTAAATTACGATCTCTCGCGTCAAAAGGATAGAGGAAGAGATGAAAAAGGTTTTTCAACTCTCGGACTCGATAACTGACATGC